GACAAACAAAGACTTACCTACAGAAAATCTTTTGAATATAGAAATAATAAATAAAACACGATAATCACTCATAAAATAACTAAAAATAAAGAATGCTAAAAATAAACATCAAAAAAGTGGAAAAAGAAAAAAGTTAAAAAAAACTTGAAACTTACAAAAAGACTATGTTCAACCGAAAAAGCAAAAAAGAAAAGAAAGATAAGAGTCAAATAGAAGAACAAGCACAAAAAACTATTGCTCTTGAAGAAGAATTAAGTCAAACAAAAAAAGAGCTAGATGAAAGTAATAAAACTGTTGCATTATTATCTTCAAGAGTTGTTAGATTAGAAAATGAATACAAACAATTACATACAATTATTGACCAAATTAAGAGCACTGGGATTTTAGAAAAAAAAATTGAACTAGAACCAGCTGATGTTGTTTTAAGTAAAAACTTCTACGATGAATATATTAATCAATTATCTGAATGGTGTGGAATGAAAAACCATGAAACACTTTATGACAGTGAGGAAGATGGACTTACTGCTCGTGCATTTAATTATAAGACATGTGGTCAAATTCATACAATGACTATTGTCCAAACAACTGATGGGTGTATTTTTGGTAGTTACAATTCTATTGAAATTCCAAACTCAAAGGAAAAAGGGTATGGATTTTATATGACTAAAGATGATGGGTTCTTTTGTTTCATTCTCAAAAGTCCATTAATTAAACAACCAATTAAAGTTGTTCGAAAAGATCCATTTTATTCAACTAAAGTGTATTCTTGTGATAATGACAAATGGATTACTGGTATTCATTGTGGTTATTACCTTGGCATTGAAGATTCTTCTTTTGTTTCAGGAAAATTCTCTATGTATTACAATATTAATATGGAGAATGCCGTGAATATTTTCTCTGGAAATCATTTTCCAGACACTTTCTCAGTATTTAAAGTTGTTGTATTAAAATGGAATCCTTGAGTGATCATGAATTTCTTCATTTCAAGACTACAAAATTGATTACTATCTTTTTTTAAGCCATTTCTTTAGTTCTGTTCTTCCTTTTTATTTTTTATATTACATAGTATAGATGGGTACCATTAATATCATTAATAATAAGAAAAACTTAACTTTGAGAATAACAATTACTAAAAGATTCTTTTCTCTTTTTGTTTTAGTTATGAATCTTTTAAGATTTCTATTTAATAATTCAGTAACACTTCTTTGTTTTTCTCTTATTAATATTATTTTTAATATGAGCTAAGTTTCTACATTTCATTTGATTCATGACCGTTAAAAAAAATTTATTTTTAATAAAACTTTTATTGATTTGCTACTTATCAAATGTAGAATAAACATTCTTAATCTTATTTTTGTTAAGTCATTTGATACTAACAGAACTCATAAAAATTATGATAACTCAATATATAAACTAAATATCTAATACGAAGAAAATATCCTGAACTATATAAAAGTATTAAGTGTTATTCAATATTATTAAACTAGAAATGTAAAAAGAAAGAAGATTTGTAATCAAAAAATAATTTGTTATAATTAGGTATTTACTTATATTTGTAATATACGAATTTGAAAATCTTGATTTTTATTTTTCTTATTGTTGATAAACTTTCATTCATATATTTACCTCTATATTATTTTAATCAAAAGTTAGATACTTTAAAATAAATAATTTTTTTTGATTTTAGATATGAGCTTTTTATATTCTAATTATAAAACACTTTTTTTGGAATGGTCTATAAGTTCTTTGTCGTTGGTATATTAATACTTTTATGAATATTTTATTTCCTGTAAATTTTTATTTATTTTAAAACACTTTTTAACCTTACTATTTATATAAATAGAAATAGAATATCCCAATATTTTTGTTTATCAAATAGTTCCTTTTTTAGAATATATTCACATCATAGTTATTGGTTGTTGTATTTATTAATGTTTTTAAATAGATTTGTTAGTGTTTTAGATTCTAGTTATTATCTTTTTTTCAAAAAAGG